CACAACCGCTCTCAACTTTTAAACACTCCTTCAAACTTCCTCTTGCTTACTAACAAATCTTCAACTCAACTGCTCTCACCTAAACAACCCTTGCTACCTTCCACTCTCCTCTTCAACCACACAACCAACTGCTTACTCACACCCCAACTCAAACCTTCACTTCCAACCCAACCTACACTTCTCAACTTCTTTTTCTCCTCTCCAACTATTTGCAACTCCCTCTAAACAACTCACAACTCTTCTTTTTGCAACTACTACCTTCCAACCCCCAACCATCACGTCAAAAACTCACCATAAAATTTATCTCAACCTCAACTCTACACGCCTAAAAACCCCTTCCAACCCACTCCTACTCTCCCTAACCTTACCCTTCCAACCCTCCAACCCTTTAATAACCTCTCTGCTTACACTCAACAACTATCTAAAACACATTGTAACTTATATTGCGTAACCCTGCCCCTAACTATCACCTGTCACTCTGCCTCTAAAATAATAATACACAACACCCTGCTGTACACAACAACCCTTGTTTAACCCTGCTCTCCGTCCGCCACCCGTGAACCAAACGCCAAACCCATTCCAACGCTTATCTGCCCTTACTGCCCTATTGTTGCTTACACCTGCTGCTTTTGTTGCAACCGTTGTTCATCTTCCCTACCTCTTTGCAATGTCCATCTCACCTTACTTCGAAATTCCATGTTGATCTTGCGCTCTAACCTTGTATACTCATACTTATCCCTGTCCCAACCTCCCACTTCTACCTGCTTGTCTTCCTTCTCGTGCCCTTGCACTGCACTGACTTGCACTCTAAACTGCACTCCCGGCCCTACGTCCACTCCCTACCCTTCTGAATCCTCCTGAATCTTAACTCTTCGCCGACACCATTGCTGCTCTGCCGTTCTTCACCTTTTGAACCATTGTTGTGAAACTCCGTTTGCTCCACTATATTCTTGCTCTCTCGTCTTCCCTTACTCCCTCCTGCCATCTGCCCTCCGCTCTGTTCCATCATCAACTTTAATCTTCTTGTCCTCATTGTATCTTTCTTCCATTAAAATAAACCGCTTTTCCGTCTAAAACGTCGAAAACTAACTCGTTCCCCTGTCTTCCTTTGCTACCACTTGCACCACCTTTCGTGCTCCTTCTGCTCCTCCCCTACCCTTTTGCCGTATCCCCCACCACGCATCTGTTTACCTCATGACTTTATTTTTTGTCATCTTTACTCACCCTAACTCCTTCACATCCAAACAATAACTACTGCCGCCGCTTCTTCTCTTTGCCTTGCACCCAACACCTGAATGATCCCTTGTATGAATTCTTTTTTTAAATACGCCCTTTTGTCTCTGCTCGTCCTCCTCCATCTTTATATCCTCTCGCCCCGTAACTAAATAATAACACCACTAACCCATTTTGACGCCTTGCCCTGCGAATATTTCCGATCCCATACTCTATCTTCACCGCGCACAGCCTGGGTACAACCACGCCTACATAATATAATGCTCTCGCTATCGTTCTTCGTCTTCGTTACGTAACCGTTTTGTCTTTCTGATCTGTCGTGCAATGTCTTCAAATAATGCGTCCTTTCTCGTTATATTTCATTTACGTCCCTCGCCCAACACAAAACCTCGCCTTCGTTTAAACGTTTCTTCTGCTTCCCGTTTCCTGCTTCCTACTGCCTGTCACCCTAACCGTTTAACCAAAAACTCACCCTAACCATGTAAACTCCCTCTAACCCTAACCTTCACTGCCGTTCCTGCTCCTAACCTTCGCCACTCGCCCCAAACACCGAACCCAATTGCGACTCCGTCGTGACCGCATTAACCACCTTTTACACTACCCAAAACACCCATGTAAATGATAATGATGACATGATGCCAATAACGTAAACTGAACACATAACTATGCATGCCTTCCTGAAAACTAATCTTATTGCCATCCACCTTAAAATAAAATTTGCTGCCTGTTTCTGTGCTTGTCCTCTGCCATGCCATGCATGCCCCTCCGCAAATACTCTCGCTCGCCAAACCCTCTGGCCATTACAATCAACTCGCCCCTATACTGACCTGACTGTGACACAACTAACCCTCATTATCATTCTCGGCACTCGCTGAATTGTGTTGTTTGAACGGCGCAAATGAACTTGCCACCATCGCTGTTACGATCCACTGTGTACCAATCACCAATCACACGCATGTCACGTCTGTTTGTCGCCAATCCTGAACCGTCTGCATACCACCCTACCTCACCTTAATTTGCTGCTTTCTCTCCCTGTTTGTTAATTCTTGATCAAACCATCTACGCCATTTCCCGCTTTCAAAACCGCTGATTTTTCTGAACTGATTGCAACCGTTCCTCTTAAACTGGGTTGTTCACACTCGCCGCCTACGCTCATCATCTCAATGTCCGCCAAAAATCGTCCTTTACGCAAATCACACCGATCCGCTTCCACTCTCGTGTTTTTTTTAATGCTTGACTCATCCATTGCGTGCTTTTACTCTTTCACTGCCGATCTTGCTCATACACTACGCCAAACCCATCAACCCAACTCCCATTCTCCGCTACCTTGTACATTTTATTCCCTCTACATACGCATCTGAACCTAAACTTTAACCCCAAATTAACCTGAATAACGACTTAAATAACCCTACCCATCACCATTCCTTACCAAACCTAACCTTCACTGGAAACTCCGCTGCTCCCTGATCAATTACTGGCTTCCTCGGATTCTTTTCCTCCATGCTTTACAACCCCTTTTTTTTCTTCCTGCATCTCGTTCCCACATATGCATATTAAATAAACAAAATTATACAACCATCTTGTCCATGTACATGAAATGGACTTCTCATCACAATTATCTAAACATACTCATCCTCCTCCTGCCTACAATTGATCGGCACAATCGATGGAATCCCCGACATAACTGATTCGTCTCTATTCCTGCCCACTTTACATTTCGCCCTAACCATTCAAACCACCTGTCCTCTCCTGCATCCCCTAATACTAACCCATCCTCTGCCATTATCTTTTTCATTCCCATCTGTGACCATTCTAAATACCATACTTCCATTCTCGCTGCCGCTGGTTCTACACCTTTCTCCGGCTTTGCACGGCTTGCTATTGTTTACACCGTCCTCCTTCATCCACTTCTTGTCGTTCCGCTCCCCGTCCGTCCTGGGCTTGACTGCCCAACCGCTGAACTCTGTCTACTCTTGAAACAATAAACAATATTTTTTAACTCTAACCATCACGTAAACACCTCCCCCTAACCATCACGCAAACCCCTCCCCCTAACCATCACGTAAAACGCCCCGAACCCTTTCGCCTCCAAAAACGTTGAAATATCATCTCTTTTAAATTCTGACTGCTTTCTCAACGCCTCGTATATTCGCTCTCGCGTTCCTGGCCCTAACCTTTTACCTTTCGCCCTCTATCTTCCTTCACCCTATCCCGACTCGGTCATAACTGCAATTCGCCAACCTTTCGCTATATATATAAACACTTATATAATCACCGCAATCACAATAATAATAACATAAACTATTGCTCTCGTGGCCCCTCAAACAAACTCCCGCCCTGTTTCTGTTGCTTGTCCCTGCACTGTTTGTGCACCCCTTAAACACTCTTGATCGTCAATCCCTAACCCTGTACATTCAACTCGGTCCTGAACTTACCTGTCAATGACCCAATATTGCATCGTTACTTATCGTCTACACTCCGTAAATATATATCACCAAATAACGCAAATAAACTAATAACCATCTCACTACTACGATCCATTGTACAACAATTATGCACGCGCCATTCTTCTTTATCGCTATTTCTAAATCGCCCATGTATCCCCCCACCTCAATTTGCTGCTTCACGTCCTTTTTCTTAATTCCTGTTTAAACACTCTACGCTATTTCCTGCCTGCTTAAAAAAATCCTTAATTTATCATCTGGCTACAATCATTCCTCCTAAAACTGACCTTTACACCCTCATCGCCACCCCCGTCTCCACCACGACCACTCCTCAAACTCAACTTCCACCAAAAATCGCCCTTTACCCAAATTTCCGCACCAAACCTGCTCGCACTCTCGGGTTTTTTCTTTTTTTTTTTTTTTTTGCCAAATTCTTAATTTATTCATAACCTGCTTTTACTCTTTTTATTATCAATTTCACTTACACATTACGCCAAAACCGACCACCCGACTCCAATCCTCCGCTACCCTGCACCTTACCTCGCAACCAACAACACCTTATCTCTCTAACCTGCTCACGGCAACATCCTCCCCTGCGCTCTTGCCGTGCTAACTCATGCCCCCCATACCTTGTTCTTTCCATCTCTATATACACGTCCTGCTTAAATACAAATAATAATATATGCACTTCCATGCCCCGGCTCAACCATGAATTACGCTCATCTAAATATAACACTACTCAATATTGTATTCCTCATTGTCCTCGCCCTCTACCAATCGACACAATCGATGAAATCCCCGACATAATTGATTCGCCTCCATCCCTGCCCACTTTACCTTCCGCCCTAACCACCCAAACCACCCATCTTCACCCCCATCTTCCATCACCAACCCATCCTTTGTCATCATCTGTTCCATTACTGCCCTTGACCACTCCAAATACCACGCGTATGCCCCCGCGTACACGTTCATCCCCACCCCCTCGTACTGGCATCCATTCGCTCTCACCAACCTAAATCGCCCGTTGTCGCTGTCAATTGCCTCCCATCGATCGCAAATCGCCTGCGGTAATCCGCACCAAAAACAAACCGCATGCTTGCTGAACCGCCTTTTTGTAAACATCCCCTCCACCATGAATTCCTTGTTTCCCTTCACCGCTGTCCATGTTTCCCCTCCATGCCGCGGACATGCCTCCATCTCATGAAACACTTCTCCTTGTCCTACTAAATGACACACCACGCAACGCTCTGCCCACCTTTCCAACTGCTCCTTGAACTCTTCCACCTCGGCCGCCGCCTTCATCTTCTCTCCATCTGCTTTCCACCTCTCGAACCTCGACTGTCGCATCTGCGACTCGAATTTCCTCTCCATCTCCTCCATCACCGCCGCATTGTTGTCCCCGGCCTCCTCCTCCTCCTCCTCTTCCTTGATGGTCAACTCTTCCTCAACCATTGCCTCCCAATGTCGTCTGGTACATATATCACACGCCTCCTCGTCTGCCTCGCACCCTGCCCGCTCCATCCAACCGTCCATCACCTTGTCCAACACTTGCCGTCGACACCACTTGCCCTCGACGAATGCTTCCACTGATTCCTCCCATTGCTGTTTCTTTTCCTCATTCTCCTCTCCATCCTTCTTCTTCTGACCCTGCCTTCCCCGGCCCGTGTTCGCCCTCTGGGGTCGTCCTTCCGCTCTGGCCTGGTTTCTTTGCGCGGCCTGCCTTGCCTTGCGACAAACCACAGCCGCCTCGCTTCGCCCCCCGTCCCGCCCTCCTCGTCCACTCTCCTGCGCGTAATCCCGCAAACGCCTCGGCATCCCGGCATGCACCACCAATCGCACGTCCGGCACGTCCACGCCCAACCCTAACGCGTTGGTTGCAACGACCAACCTGCCGTCATCTCTCCATGCCCTTAATCTCCTCGCCTTGCCTTCCACCGTGTCCATTTTTGCATGATAATGGCCGCATCCTAATGCGTTTGCTAACCGCTCTACTCGGTCTGTCGGCCCGGCGTATACAATAACCCTTCCGTCGGCGTGATGCTCCATCCACCGCCGCACCATCTGACATACTTTCCTGTCTTCCTCCTCCTCATGCTGGTCTGCCGCTGCGCTGACTGTCTCGACCCTGTACGCAATGTTAACCCTAACCCTGCCACGCGGAAAAATTCGGCATCCTCCCCTGGGGGCAACGTCGCGGTCAAAAACACCTTTTGCACACACCAATCCTTCAATATCGGCCCCAACTCCTGCAACTTCGGTCTGAACTGGTCGTTGCCGTCCAATAATACGTGACACTCGTCCACCACGATGCGGTCCAATGCCTGACGCGACTGCAACCAATTGACGTAATCGCGAAATGCCTTTGTTACGGCCGACTCTGGCGTTACGAATGTAATCGTTGCCAACCGATTGCCGCCCCGGCTCCGCCATATGTGTGATTCGATCATGCTTTTGTTGCACTGGTCATGCAAATCTTCCCGCAACGACACCAACGGCACAATCACGATTGCTGTGCCTTCTGGCGAACAATACGCTGGCAACATGAACGACAAACTCTTGCCGCCTCCCGTCCCCGTGATTTGCACAACCGGGCTTTCGCCTCGTACAATTGATCGTATGACCATCTCCTGTTGCCCCCGGAATTCTGCTTTTTCGCCCATCATCATTCGCAACTGGCCCCGCATGTCCACTTGCTGTAATCGCGAAAACCGCCGGAACCGTGCCTCTTCCCGTGCCGCCTCGAACGGGTCCCGCTGTCGTTTCATCCCGGACTCGGTCCCGCCCCAATCCTCCGCCCCAAATCCCAAAAATCGATGCCACCTCCGGCTGACCGCCCGGAACTGCTCTCGCCGCGTCGCCGTGCCAAAATTCCCTTGCTGCAACTCTCGCGCGTAAATCATACCCGCCACGTGCGTCCCGTGCCCTGCCTGCAAATCCGCTGGGTCATCCTCCACCTCATCTTCGTCCTCGTCACCGAATCCTTCCTCCTTGAACGCTTTGTGCAAATATCGATTCGAAATCGCAATCGCCATTTGCCTCCATGCGCTCAACCCCAACTTGGTCTCCATCAATCGCTCGCTGTGCCGCTGCATGATTCTTCTCGCACGATCTGACGTCCACTTGCGCTCTTTGATCCAATCCTTGAAACCTGCTGTCTCTGTCATGTCCTCCTCTCCTTCGCCTTGCTCTCGCCCTTGCCCTGCCCCCTCGGACCACTCTCCTTCTTCTTGCTCCTTCCGCTGTCGCTCCCCCCTCTCCGTCTCTCCTTCGCCTCCCGCCCGGCTCACCACCTCATCGGACCATAAAAATGGGCTGCGGTTGTCTGCGTCTTTCACGATGCCTTGCACCTGCTGCCAAAATGGCAATGCCAACCACAAATACCACACCAACAACTCACCAACCTCGCGCGGCAAATACCGGTGGATCACCTTCGTCTGCCCGCTTTGCCGGAAATTCTTGTGGTACGACGTCACGAAACACATCATCTTGTTGTGCGCCAAAATGTTCCGTACTCCGCCGTTGATCGTGTTGACGTACCGGATCCCTAAAATCTCTGTCGACCTTACTATCATCCACAACCTCTCGCGGAACTGCTCGACGGCACGACCGTACTTTCGCACCGCGCTGTGCTTGTATGGGTTGGCGTCGCTGACGCCTTCGGAAAACCACGCCTTCTTTTGTGCATTGGAACCTACAATCCGCCGCAAAACCCAATCATGGCCCTTATCCAACCATGCATTGCGCTTGTCTTGTAAAAACGAATACCCCACGCGGTCGTCGCCGTGGTCATCCTCCATCTTGGCCCATTCGATCGTCGGTAATCCTTCTACGCCCTCCTTTTCAACCATCGTTAACTGCGCTAATAACCCTCGTGCCTCGTCCACTGACGTGTGTAACATTTGTGACAACTGGTTCATTGTGAACTTGATGTCCCTGTGTTTGATTCGTTCTCCCTCCCAATCGATGGTGCCCCCGGCTGGCGTGTTGAACCGGATATGCATCCCGTACGTGCGGCACTCGTAAATCCAATCCATCGGGGTCGGCAACGCGCTGGGACTGTCCGTGGTGCGCGTCATGAACCGCTGCACTTTCTCTCGCACAATGGTAAAAATGGCTGTTGCTTCTTCATGGGCGTCGTCCTCGTTCATTTTCTTCGTCAACTCCACTACTTCATCCTCGCGTTGTATAACCGACTGATACACCACCAACATGCGGGCCACCTTGATGACGGCCGAATAAATGGGCGTATAATTTATGGCTTCCACCCAACCCGTGTCGTCTCTCAATCCCATGACGGCCAACCCGCTGATAATGGCACTGTCGTAATGGCTCTGCCTGGACTGGTGGTCCAACAATGCCGCCGTCAACTCCAACGCCAAACGATCCATCCGTTCTTCCGTGGCATCTCTCCTCTGGCCCGTGTCTTCCAAAACCATCGCGGTCGTATCTGCAAATTTGTCGTATGCCTTACTCTGTCGTTTTGTTAATCGGTACGGTGGTCTGTCAACCTCGTCGCCCATTTGGGCCCGATGCAAAATACATAACAACTGCCCCCATACGTCTTTATACCTTGCCCACGAATCCTCCTCCATACGGTTGTCAAATGGCCTGTTCGGTTTGACGTGTATCTCCTTGCGCTGAACCTCGAACAATGCCGGTGGTCCAACCTTGGTCGCCACGGCGGTTGCGCGCGCGTTATCTATCTATCACTCGCTCCAAACTCTCCCACATTTGCTGTAACACGGTCTCGTCATCTTGGATGGGGTCCTATATCTGTCGCAATTGCTTTCGGTCCAACTCGCCTAAATGATGTGCCCATCCAACTCGATCTAACCATGCGTTTGGCTCCGTCTTGTCGTTGGTAATCTTGATCAACTCTTCGTTTCTGGTCTTAAATCGCTCTACCTGACCCTGGTGAATACGCTAGATTCGCTCAACAATGTCCTCGGCTTCTGTTGGTTGTCTTTCTGGTTTCTGGCTGGCTCGGCCAACCTCAAACCACCCACTGGCCACGTGCGACCTAAAAAACCGCTGGCATTGAACACCTGTTGTCCACGGGTTATCCCGCGCCTGTTTGGCTTGCTGTGCTATATTCACCCTCTTCTTGCGTTCAAACACCCACCCGTGCTGTTCCCGGCCATGCTTTCGCACTCCGCGTTCCGTACGGGTGACGTACTGGCATGTCTCCATGTTACATCGCAACCCATCGTTCTCCGCCGATCGCCGGCGTAATGAACGGAATCGGTTCCGTCATTGGCGCCGGGAACTTGAACTGTGCCAACCCGGCTTGATCTTGAATAATGTCTGGAATTAAACCAACCTGCGCCGCAATCTTCTTTCTCTCCTTGGGCTCGATGGATACGTGCCAATCTTTCAAATGGCTGTTCACTTCCTTGGCAACACATGCAAACTTACACGTCTTACATCACGAATGGATACTCCCGCAAATGGACAAACGGCTCCATGGCGACGGGCACCCGGCGTTGGCTCTGGAATGAATGGATTGTTCATACCGCCGGATCACTGACTCAACGTCTATCCTCTCGATTTATGTGCTGCTCTGCTCTTTTGCTCTCCTGAATCTGAATTGCTGGGTCTGCGGACTCTGCCACGGAAACCAATTTACGCGCTCGCTGTTTACGCTGTTAATTAGCATTACGCTTGTCTAGCTCAGATTTTATTTTATTTTAATTTTTTTTTTTTTTTTTGGTGGGGGGGCAGTGTTGTATTTAGCGTTCGAGTTTCGGCTTTCAATCTTGTCCTTTGATGCTCTGGACCATGTTGCGATATTTGTTCTCCAACCGCCATGCGACGGACCGCCCCCCAGTGAGCAGCTCACCCACTTGCTCCCCTAGTACTCCACATCTTCCTCCAAAATCGGCTACATTCGCTACAACCCACGCCCATGGGAAAAAAATTCGCTGTTAACGGCGTTCGGCCTCCTTTTCCTATTTGCTTTTAATCCACACAAACTGATCCTCATCTGACTCTAATCGCTGTTTCCTGCCTTTTTCCTCTTTCTCCATAATGTACGAGCCTGTCATCTGCGCGGCCACCTGCACCTGCCAGTGAATCTGCTCATACCTACCCTACATGGCGTAAATGAGTTCAATTCGTCCCCCATACACAGTGCTACGCTTGTATAACTACTGATCCCATCGAATAGACTGTGCCTTTGTTCATATCTATCTATATAGTTCTACTACAATGCTGCTGTATCTTATCCTGGTTATGCCATGCTAGTTATACCATGCTCATTGTTAACACATGGCCGTCCTCTATTGTCTACCTTGGCTTGTGTTTACCATATGTTTTGTGTACAATGGCCTCCCACAGCACATGCATGTTTGTCCCCTTTGTCCCGTGAAACTGCACTCGCCCGGCCAGCCACTTAAACCACTCCTTTGTGTCGTCTGGGTCAATCTCGAACTTGTTCACCACCCATCGTTTCATCGCATCGTGTCCCATCGCCATCAACGCCACCGGCAGCACCTTATCCGTGTACATGCAGTCCTTGCCTTCCCCCGCGCTTTCGCGCATCTCGTCGCACCAGTCTGACGGCAGCTTGCAACGGAAACAACACGAGTTATCCGCAAATCGAATCTTCTGCCGTATGCTGTCATACGACTGTCCGCGAACCGGCTCGCACACTTCTCCTGGTCGCGTGTGCCTGTCTGGCGACGGTATTGCCTCGCCGATCGTCGTTCCTTTGCAGTTCCAGATATGACATACGGCGCACATGTCCTGCACCTCGTCCAGCCATCGTACCAGCGTATTGACCTTCTCGCCCTCGACTTTGTTGAACATTCTCCATACACCCTCTCTTGCTTCCTTTCTCGTCTCTGCCGGTCCTTCCTCTTCCCCATTCCCATCCCCGCTACTCGCCTCGTCTCCATCACTTTCTTCCTCAATGGTGGGAAGACATCGCCCACACGGGATCGCTCCGGCTATGTCGGCACATGTCTCGCCCACCACCCCGTCCATGAACGAAGAAAGCACTTCTCGGTGACACCCGGGACTCTTGATGAACATCTCCATCTGGTGTCGGTTGATGCGCTCTATCTTGTCCGTGCCGACCCTCTCGTACGGTGTCGAGCCGTCGTGCACAATGACTGACCGCACCTCTTCACCGTCCCGCCGTGCTCCTCGCCCTGTCTGCTGCACGAAGTCTACCAGACCGTACGGGAACCCTGCGTGTAGAACCGCCACGATGCCTCCGATGTCGATGCCCGTTCCGAGCCCCGTCGTCGCCACGATCCAACGGTGCCCGCCTCCTGACGCCCACAACTCCCGCGTCTCGTCCTGCGCTGCCTTGTCCATTCCGCTGTGGTGGGCTGAGCACCCGATCTCCTTGGCTAACGCCTCGCATTGCGTCTTCGTCCGGCAGTATACTACGCCTTTCTGTCCGCTTACCATCGTCGAGTCCAGTTGCCGCACTAGCTCCACCACCCGTATGTCCACAGACACACCTCTGCGGCCTGCCTTGACCTGTTCCACCTCATATCGGCAGTTGGCCTTGGTCGTCCGTTCTCGAATCGTCTCGGCAGAAGCCGCCAGCAGCTCCTCTCGGAACCACCGCTCGAATGTGACCGGCAGTGTTGCCGTTAGCAGCACCATCGGCTTCTGGTACCGCGCCAGCCCTTTGAGCTGCGTGAGCTTCACTCGGTACGATGCATCCGTGATCGCCGTGTGCGCCTCGTCGATGAATATGCGCTGGAGCAGCCCGGCCTCGTCCAGTCCGTCCAGATACCCGAGCAAGCTTGGCACCGACACCGTGTCCGCGCCGACAACCACCATACGCGCCGCCCTTGGCAAGCTTTCACGCTCCGAGTTGACGGACGGCCGGAACTCGACCACATCCACTCCCATCCGCCTAGCCTTATCCACCATCTCCGTCATCAACGCCGCGAACGGTACCACCACGTTGGTGCCGCCCCCGCGCATGATCGCCGGGACCATGAACAGTAAGCTCTTGCCTGCGCCCGTCGGCAGCACGCATATCGCCGACTCCTCTCCCTGGAGCGCCAGAATCTTCTCCATGCACTCCCGCTGCTTGCCTGGCCGCCATGTTGACGCCGGTCCCATCAGCATCCGCAGCCCGTCCATCATGTGTCGCTCATTCTCCTCCTTACTTGGCTGGTCCTCCTTCTTATTCTTCTTCCGTGCCGTCATGCTTTCATCTCCTGGTGCCTTGCGTTTCCACCCTGCTCGGAATTCATCCCCTTCCATCAAGAATTGGTGCCAGAGACGGCTGATTCCGCGGTAGTTTTCCATCATCTCCGGCGTTAATCCGTTGGGCATGCCAACGTGTACGGCGTAGTGCAGCCGTGCCATCTTCGTGCTATGCGTGCTCTGGAGATCCCATACGATGTTCCAGCTGCCTCGGACGTCGAGCGCTTCGCCCGTCATCTGGTCCATCTCAATCCCCTCCTCA